GACCTTTAAAGGGTTTCCACTCTTCTCAGGGTCGATCCAGTACTCGCCGTCTCCTTTGGAGTCTCCTGAGTCCCGGATGTCCTTACAGGAATGAGCAGGTTGAGTGGAAATCAAACCTGTTATCGCTACATAAGAAAGTATGGAAATAAAGAGAGCAAGTTTCTCTTATAATCCTTACCGAAATGACAGTTATAGCTGAGGGATGTAATAATTATGCTAGGGAAAATAGGCGCAGCACAAGACAGGCACACTGTACATTTACAACTCTCCAGACTAAGGTATCTACGAGCCTAACAGTGGACAGCTAAGACTCGTCAGCAATGTGCAAGGCATAGTGGATAAGGAGATAAACTTCTTGGTTGACTTTCTGAATCTCTGAAAAGGAGTGCACTAACAAGGTTGAGTCTATTTTGACTAGTATCATAAAAATATGAAGTGTCTCAAAAATCAATTTGAAATAGATCCCATATTTTACCTCGCAAATAATGCCTAGTTCCAAGAACGAGCAAGATGAACGAAGTCCTGCGCTGTAATTGGCTACCCGAGCGGCCAATATGGCGCTATCTTTCCCGTTCGGGATTACGCCCTGCGTCCCGTAAGGGAAGATCCTTGTATGGTCTACAGTATCCCATATAATAAATATTTTATTGAAACCTTGTTCGGTCAAGATCGCTGGATATTGGCTTGATATTCTTTTTTTTTTTTTTTTTTTTTTATAGACTTGGACTCCGTCTCGGTCTAAAAATACGCAAAACAAAAAGAACTTGGCCAATATCCAACCACCTTAACCCCCGGTCTTGACCTCACGCTTGGCGAATAGCCCATATATCCCATTTATTATTCTAAATGATGATCATTTGCGAATATGGTACTAAACTTTATGAATTTTGTAACCGAAGAACTCACCTGTTTCACATCGTTTTCCTTTGTATCCCGGATGACACTGTCCACTCTTATTTTGCTCATTCTGCTCGCGGGAAACATCGATGAAGGAGACCTGGTTTGGGTCAAGAAATCAAAGAAAACAGTTCGGTAAATGGGTTTTCTTTTAAGGTTTAGTAAACCTGACTATATAACAATGTGAGGAGACATTAACTTTTGATCACTTTCCGTACAGTCAAACATGCTAATATTGTTATTTTGCTTGAAGTAACCTCTACTGAAAGCCTTCAACAGCCGGGAAATGGTGGCTAAGCCGGATAACCGGCCTTACGTACACGTTTTGAGTTACCTGAACGGAGCCATAGTATGTAGATCCTTTCTTCCATTTAAAATCTCCTGGCTTCATCTGTCGGGTTTTGTTGTTGAGCTCACAAACTTGTCTTTGTGCGTTGTTGCCATCGGGATAAACATTAAAGGATTTGCAACCGTTATTTTGGAAGCAGTTTAGTTGACACTGAAACTCGTCAACAACAACAACCGTGTTCGTGATGTGACGAGCTAAGGCATGGTCTAAAAGGAGAAACAAAGAAAGCCAATTCTGTCGACGTACAAACAACAACAACTTTAGTTGTACTCATAACTAAAATAAAACTACAGTTAACCAAAACAGTATATATTGAATTTAAAAAAATGAATGCACGACTGCCCGACGAAGCTACAATCGGCTAAGGAGAAACTCGACAGCCATCCCTAGAGATCACATATGAAAGACAAACGACGGATAGAAGAGAGACTCATTCAACTGAGTCGAGTTTACTTACCAATTTGGGTTTCAAACACGTTCCCGCAAAAGTCTTGGTTTGCCAAAACAAAGAAGACTACCAGAAATATGTTTAGACCGACATAGCTAAACTGAGCACTGCACGAACCGGCCATCGAGGTTGTGTTGCTCTGAAGGCCGATAGTTTGCAATCACATTTGCAAGCAAGGTGACTGCTATCCAATCTTACAATGATTGCAATGACCCTAGCAAATCACGTTCATTCATAATTAATAATTTACACATTTGTCTTAAAGCTGTGAGTTATTGTGAGTTTCTATCAAACCAACCGGCTCAGTATGGCTTACGAGTATCTTAATCAGGCAGACTGTGATGGCTAAGGATCTATTGTAAATATGAAGAGAGAATCAAAGAAGCTGAAAGTTCGTTTCGAATGATTTTGCCAATGCTAAAACGCAGTTGCCAGATTGTTGATTAAAAATGCTTAAGTGTTTTCACTTTTCTTTGTGAAAAAGATAATATGGAACCCCATCAGTTTTATTAGCAAACCAAATTCATACCGCAAGAGAATACTGTAAAGCTGACATCCTCGCAGTTGCTAAAATTCCTTAATTGCGAAGGAATTATTAGCTTTGCACCCGATATCCAAAATATCATCATGGTAAATTTCATAATGTTCACGAATGTTCGCAAGGCGATCAGTAAATACTTGAAATGTCTCACCTGCGTGCTTTATTGCTTTGAATGGATTCTCCATTCTAGCTAATTAAAAAAACCGTGAAGAAAACGACAACCCTTAATTGTAACGAAAAAATTAAGTTGCAAAGGCAAAATTATTTTTGTTGTTGTTATTACTGTTGTTGTTTTTAGCCTTGTGTATATTATTTCATCACTTTACCTCATTGAGCGAATATTGTGTCGGCATAAAAATAATTTATGTTCGGATTTTGTTGATTTCAATTCCCGCTATAAAGCAATCATATATTCCTTTCCTCTGTTTGATCTGAGTTTCAAAATAGCCTCTAAAATGTTAAGCTTGTTTGGACATGATTCTGAATTCTAATCCTCATTGTGACCGTTGCAACGCCGCGGCCGCTGCTGAGAACGTGAGCTCTAGAATGACAAGGGTGACACGATGTGTGCCGGAGATTACTTGTCTCACTTGCACCGCTCTAAATTCACGCCGCGGGATTGGGGAAGGGGTTGATCCATATTTAACCAGGGTGCTTATCATTTTGACAAAAATGAAAAAAATCCGGAAATTTTGGTTAAAAGTCAAATGGAACAGCAATTTTCTGGTAAATGCTTTCGAAGGTAGACTCCAAAAGTACTCCTCTACAGTTTTTCGCTCGGAACGAAACGGCGGAAACTTCCCTACCATTTGCTGAGTTCCTCAGTTTCCAGTCTTTAATCAACGGAAAACAATACGAGAAACCGAATCATATAAATGGTAAACGCCATCCAGTTCGCCTGGTCTGCTGATTTTCGAAAACCCCTCGTCATAAATCAACGGTTATCCAAACCGGCCCCTTGCGACGAATGGTGAGTACTCCTAGAGCCTCCTAGAGAAAAGGCGACCATTATTTTAGCTGCATGACATGACGATCACGAACTTCCGAAGTTTAGAGTGCGTGATTGTCTTTTTGTGATGGCCATGGTTATTTTGTTATCATTATACGTTTTTCTTATCACAACGAGTAGGAAAAACAAGTTCCGAAGGAGGCTTCCCCAAGCTATAGTAAGCCCTTGTGGTTATTTCGCTTATCAACAGGAGTAGATTTGAAGAAGAATTTTGTTTAAGCTACCTTTGTGTTTCAGTTGGATACGAAAAAGTGAATATTCTTTTTAAGTTATCAAACAAAAAGTTCAAAAGTTAAAATCTCAAATAATTCGCGTGGAATTCGAAGCTCTGCCGTTCTTCTTTTTCCGCAAATGAGACCTGGATCATTAAAAAAAATACTGACTCACAATTCATTATGTCTACACTAACAAAGCAACAATTACACCTTTTTCTGGTATGGTCCGTGAACACTAGTCGCGAGCCATATACCGTGTTATAAACTGGTGAATGCTGATGAATTGAGGACAAGGTATGAGGTACGAGTCACAGCCAGAGACATCGTTGGTGGTTGAATTCCAATTCAGTGCGATCCAAACTGATCGATGTACGGTTGGAGCTTATTTTCTTACGAGGTTGAAGAGATTAAACTCGAGTTCTTTGGCGCTGTTGATTTTTGCCAGGTCTAACTCCAATTTTGAATCACTGCTTAGCCCAAAATTTTTAAAAAATTCATGGCAGTAGCAGGAGTTGAGGAAGGAAAATAGTTGTATGTGATCTGGATTAATTTGCTGTACATAAATGCCTGAGGTAAAAGTCAATGTCGTCAAGGTTCTGGAAGGTAGAAAACGCGAGCTAGGCGATTCTGGCGATGGCTGCTGGGGAGTCTGGAGCATCTGATTATGAGTGAAAACAAATTGTGTCTTGGCCATTCACTCTGGAAAAATGTCCATCGAATACGTTCTTGCATGGCATCAACTTTATAGTTTTCTTCATTCTTTAGGATCTTTAGGATCTTTAGGATCTTTCACCAGTTAATGAATAGAACTCTAAGAACTGATGTACCTTGTGATTCCCATTACTTGTAATATATTTATCTTGCAAAAAGGTGGATCCTCTACGTTATCTAATTCCATCCTAGTCTGCTCGTGTCATGTCTTTACCGACTGACAGGCCGTTCTCGTTACGGAATCTATTACTGATGTTGGATAATGAGAGAAATCCAAGAGGCTGCTTTAACGTGAATGCCAACTTTACTAGCTAAGAGTAATTCACAGCATCATACTCTTAAAGACAGGAAATAAAAGTAGGAACCAAGAATTTAATAATAGTATTTTTAAAACGAATAAACACTTAACTCTAGATGAATAACACAAATTTAATAAAGAATGAATTACGATGCTATTTTGGAGGGAACACGATTAAAAGTGGATAATGATGCAGATTTTCCTGGCGATGAACCAAGTGAATTCTACTTATTAGCGACATAAAGTTAATAGCAGTCCAGTGAAATATAAGTGATACCGATCGTTAAAGGCTTTTTCACGGGTAGGCCCTAGCCATGTTTCCGGCACACCAATTGTTAAAATTAAGTCCTTTTCTTAGAATATTGAAGAAAATTTCCTAGAAATATAAGAATATTCCCCCCAAAAGCTAACAAGAAATCAGCTGATTAACCGTCTTCTCGCGGGGTGTGCATGTATACCCATTACAACTATGCAATTAGGTCTTTGTTTTCACAAATAATAATAACCTTCCGTAAAATAACTTGGTGTGGGCATACCCAGGCGGTGTTGGACACGGTTCACGTGACAGTATTCGACCAATCATATGTCGTCT